CGGAGGAAGATGGTTTTTAATTAAATACTCTTATTGACATCATTATGAACACTGAAATTTATAACTACGTTTTAATCGTTTTCCGTGGACGAGTCCTGAAATAATTTCACCATTTTAATGTGCAGCAGGCAAGCTCTTTGAGCCAACAACAAATTTGCAGATGACGATTTTCATCCCACTGGTCAGGCTGATGTTGGTTCAGACCGTCTAAGCTTGGCCGAACAAAATGCGGCACAGTGTTTTCTCGGCGTACTTGGAGCTGTCAGGGTTTAAACTCGCCGTATCTCGGTGCTGCTTTAGCTGGAAACCACGGTGAGACGACTGGGTTGTATACAAATACTCGATCTGGCAGAAGACAAGCAGCCAGTGCTGAAAGTTGAACCCGCGCCAGTAATATTCCAGATACCGGCTGGATAATACAAATCAAGTTTGGTGGTGGGTCAGTCGTGCGATTATTTTCCTTTCACAGAGTCCTGTCCTTGAAGGATGTCTGCAAGGGCCGTCACTGGGGCACCCATAAGGGAATGCCCCAGTGGTTAAAGGGGATGCATAAAGGCTTGCGCAGCATGTATACGAACGACGGATTATAGCAGTGCTGATTGAGGTTTTCTGGCATCCCCTAAAACTTAGCTCGGCTGTACAATATGCACGCTTTGCTATGTTCAAGTTTGGACCAAACCGGGGCAGGTCGAGCTGAAAGATAACCTAAGGTAGGCAGTTATTAAAGCCAGGCTGGGCTCGGCTTCCACTGAGAGATGCTCTAGCTTTTCCGCTAACGCCTTTTTGCAACATTACCTGCCGTCATAGCTCAGCAGTTTGCCAACGGTCGCTGGGTCGCCACCCAGTGCTCGGTGGCTGGGTAGCGGTTGGGAGGTGATGGGTAGAGAGGTTGGACGTGCTTGCGGGTGGTGGTTGATGGATGCCCAATTGCTGCTTTGAAGGAATGGATTGCGGATAGGATAGAGATGCGGGATAAGAGTAGTAGTCAGGAGTTCGAGGCAACAAGTGGAAACAGTGATTTGAGAGTGGTGAGTGATAGGTGCTCAGATGCCGCTCTAGAGGCGAGAATTGGGGACAGGATAGAGGGAGAGGAGGTGGGGAGGGGGACTGCGATACTAATCAGAAGCTGAAGGCAAGAACTAGAGACAGCAGTAAAGTGAAAGAGGCAACGCAGCACCATAAAGAAAAGTAAGTTAAAGCAAACCTGAACTTATGAAAAAAGTGAAATCAAAGAATCGGAATCTATGAATAAAAGCAAAAAAAAAGCAAATAAAAGCAGAGCTTATGCGAGTGGAAATTGGCTTAGAAAAATCCGCTTTCACTAAGGGGCTTCCATGTTTGAAGCTGATGCTTAGATGAATCTGAGAGCGAATAAGTTCAACTAAATTTACTCAAAAATTCCACAGAATAATTCCAGCGTATTGCCTTTGGCAGCCTGCGACTGGGCACAACGCTTACTCCTCTGTTTTTTACCTCCAAAATTTCACAAAAACAAAGGCGGAGTCCGTCCCTATGCATCCACTCTACACCACTCTTTACTGATTTCATATCGTACAATGGAACTTATTTGCTCTCAGCTCTACCTACGCATCAGCGTCATAATTAAGGAAGCCTCCTGCTGGAGAAGCGTTCTTATGCGTTTTTGCTTATATGCAAATTGCTAAAACGCATATTGCGACGACCCTGTCTGTGTGTGTATGTTCGTGTGTGTACTTGTATGTTCGTCTGTCTGGGTATTTCAACTCGGCAGCCAAGCAAGCTCCAGCGTCAGAATTTTACTAGCGGATTCCCAGGCCAAGTGCCACCCCAGTACCGCGGTAACAACCCTCACGCAAGTCTGGGCCCCGCGTACGAGAGGGTGAAAGTTTTGGCAGGAAAATTGCCAACTCGGGGACGAGAAAAGATAGAAAGCTGGAATTCTGAAGTTATGTTGCCCGTTCATGTACAACTCAAAGATTTTAAATTCAGCCCCCAGTTGTGCGTGGTTCTCGCGTACGGCCCCGTCAGGGTTCCTGGCGCGAAAATCGCTAACTTGGGAACCAGGAAGGCTAGGAGGCTGAAATTTTATGGCGATGGGATGTTCACAACCAATGTACAACTTAAAGATTTCAAACTCGGCCCCTAAGTATGTCCCCAGGTCACGTGCGGCCCCGTGAAATTTTTGACGGTAAAATTGCTAATTCGGAAACCAGAAGAGCTGGAAAACTAAGATTTTAGGAGAATATTCCCCATCCACATACAACTTAAAGGTTTCAAATTCGGCCGCCAGGTACGCATGGTTTTTGTGTACGGGTACTTAAATTTTTGGAGGGAAAATTTCTCATTGAACAATTTCTCACTGGAAAATTTCTCACTGAACCTTCCTGTTTATGAAACTGATGCTTAGGTGAAGCCGAGAGCAAATAAGTTCCATGAAATGGGCAAAAACAGGGTAGAATGGATGCCCGGGGATGAAGTCAGCCTTTGCTCCTGTGAGATTTTGAAGACAAAAAAAAGGCATGACTGTTGTGCACAATTGCAGGCTGCGAGAGACACCACTGTGGAATTGTCAGCTATTTTTGTGTATCCCAGTCGGACTTATTTGCCCTCAGCTTCACCTAAACATAAGCTTCAGTAAATCCTGTCGAAATTATTTGCCTTCAGCCTCACCTAAGCATAAACTTCATAAATGCGGGGACCGCTTACTGAAGACGGGTTTTTGTAAGATAAATCCTACTCGCATAAGCTCCGGTTTTGTTTGCTTTTGCTTTTTTTTGCTTTTGGTTACAGGCTCCTATATGTGTGTGTTCAGAAGCGAGTGCATTTTGTCACTCACTTTCATCTCAGCAAACAAGAAAGCTGGGAGGCTGAAACTTTGGATATATATTCCTACCCCGTGTGTTACCCTCCTGTTTTAAGATATTCCACCACACGCGCCTAGATCCCGCGTACGGGCCCCTCAAAAAAATATGCGAACTTCGTTGGTGGGAAACGATTTCGCGAATCAGGGAAGATAGGAAGCTGAAACTTTGCAGGGATATTCTTTATGCACGTGTGAGCTAAAGGTTTTAAACTCAACTGTTGAGCACGCCTGTGAAGTGCGTACGATCACGTCAAAGTCTGCGAGTTGGTACTATGCTAACTCGAAAACTTGTCGGAAAACAATGGCTGAAATTTTGTCAGGATGTTTGTATCCCATAGAGAAAATAGTATACCTAAAATGAGTGTCGATTCACACATGCGTCAGAACTTATGGCACTTCAAAGATATTTGTAGCGAAATGGATATTTCGCTTACCGGATAAGCTGCGATGCTGAAATTTTGCATGAATATTCTACTTTCAAGTGCGGACTTAATCCTGTTTGGAGGTGGAATTCCCTGCAGGTAGGCATGAGAAGTACTCAACTTCACCGAAAAATCAGAAACGAGTGCGTTTTGCAGCGAACGACCGCCCTCATCCAAATCTGTAAATGAACATTAGTTCATATGCGTACTTGGATTTTTTGACAAACGATGGCTCGAGCAATACTTCCACTTTTTAGTGGACTGGAATTTTGCTTTTTTTCAAAAAATTTGCATTTTTCATTTTTCCACAAGGCGATCATTTACCGGAAAAAACGACCGGACTTCATACAAAAAACTGGTAATCATGCACCTGGTTGTGCGTGCGGCTGTATAATGCACCATCTTCATCCCAACCGACGCCCTTCCTCCTGCATGCGGGAAGGGGTCAAAACACGGCCAATATGAGCCCAAGTGTTAGGCTACAGTGTAGGTATCATCCCTGCTATTAGCGATCTGCAATTTTAGTGCAAAAATGCATGATCGCACCAGCCGACAAGCCTGGGCGTTACAGCCTAGGTTTGCATCTGTGCAATGCAAAAACGCATACTGGTGACGGATTGTTTGTGTGTGCGTTTGTGTATTCATCTACACCGATTTTTCATCTCGAGGCATACAAAAGATATAGGGCCGAAACTTTAGCAACTTAATCTACATGCATTTATGTGCCTCTATCCCCAAAATGGACATTTTTACCCGTATGGCCTCAACGTACGAGCCCGTAAAAGTTTTCTGCGATTAAGTTGCTTACTCGGGAATTTGAAAAGTTAGAAAGCTGGAATTTTAAAGGGATGTTTTCTGACAGTCGTGGTGGCCAGTCTTAATTCTTTTAGTTAGAAGCATCTGCCCAAAAAAACAATGCCGTTAGCGACAAAAACCTGCGAGGAACTATGCAAAAAGCGCATCTTCGCACCGGCAGTGCGGTGCGCAGACCAATTATTCCCTTTTATTCACAAATTCAGGTTTCCTCTTTACTGCTATCTGCTGTTCTTGCTTCGAACTCCTGACTAGCACTCTTCTTCCCCTCCTTATCCTGTTCCCAATCCCTGCCCCCAAAGCCGCATCGGGGCACCCACCACCTCCAACCACTGTCACCGTTTATCATCCTAAACTCCTAACCAGCAACTTCATTCCTCCCTACTATCCCTGTCTCAGTTCCGCTCTCTGAGCTGTATCTGGGTAACTATTAACCAGCACCCCCCCCCCCCCCCCCCCCCCCCCCCCCCCCCCCC